GCCGATAGGCACTACAGATGATTGGATGAAAAGTTCCATTCCCTCAAGCATCACATCCACCACCACCACGGCTCGAGCCGGCCCATACGTGCAACAGCAAAAGCGTGGATTAATTTGTAGTTTCAGATATATTTGATAGCTTTTCATGTTCTGAAGTGGTTTCCAATATTTACTCTTAATTATTAAAAAGAATGAAAGTTAAAAAAATAAATCTTATAAAATTACATGAAACTTCTTGATAATGAAATAGAAATTGAATGAAATTAATGAAATTCTTAATATTTTTGAAGTGAAAACTCCTTTAGCGTCGTTGTGATTTGAAAGTCTATGAAACGGAAAAGTGACAGTAAAAAGAGACAGACACATAAATTCATAAGATTTAAAGTGCGAGAAAATGAGATAGGAAGCATTATAGCTCAATGCTCGAGAGAAAAAGTCGTAAACGCCGCCGAAACGGTGTCGCTTACGCGTTTTGTTCAACACGGTGTTGTCGTGTGCCTATGCATAGGCACGGTGTTTATTCTTCTTTATTCCATATGGAATGGAATAAACAAGAATATGCTATGGAATAAACAAGCAGTGAAGAACGGCCAAACTTCAACTTCATAATAGGTAAAATTGATATAAATCTTTTTGTAATTTGTAAGTACTATATAAGGTATATCGAAAAGAGTATAAACATTCGAAGGGAAATTAATCTACGCGTCGCAAAAATAGTGGCTGACCCTTACTTTTAAAAGTACATTAACAATGTCAAAGACTTCTTTAGATATTTTAAACATTGTCGAATTCAAATATGTCGTTTAAATATAATAATAAAGTAAATGAGCTCAAGTAACACTAATTTGAATAAAAAAAACCAACAAAACCGGCAGTAACTAGTTTCGTGCGTTTCTCATCTGTATGGTTCACTATTCATAATCTATGATTTTCATATAGAAATTGCAGCTACGTGGCAGCGCAGTAAACAGTAAAAAATTAACAAATACCATTAACCATATTGAAAAAAAAAACATTCATTATTTCATAAAATCCGGGCATCTAGCGACTATTTTAAGTACCACCTTGGGTGTTAATCAGTTGTTCGATCAAGTGACTACCTATAGAATGAAGTAGGTGGCGCTATTATAATTTTAGTCGAAAGAAAATATCTATGTGTCTAATAATATATTAAAAGGATTGTTCCATTTATTTACTATAAAATTAAATTTTCTTATACCTTATACGCCGAACTTGTAAAGTATTTGTATTTTATATTTTATTTCATTTGAAGGTTTCACTTCTGTCTGTATATTTTTTTAATACAATTAAGGATACTGTTGAATTTGTCGGGAATCTGTTGATTTTTTTTTGTCCCCAAATTGGTGAATTTGACAAATTGGTACGGAACGCGAGATATCAGTGATACTATAATTATAGTTTTAAAGCGAAAGAAGATTGAGTAGTCTACGATAAATGTAGAGATATTTTTCAAGAAAGAACCAACTGTGTGTTATAATAACACCTATTATGCAAAGTGTTCATGGCTAGTTTGGCTGATGAAACGGTGTTTATTGATACAAGTGGATCATGTGATCAAACAAATACCTGCCTTACAATTATATTTGCTGCAACGAAAATTGGTACTTTACCTATTGTTGTAATTTTACACTCAAGACAATCTCAAGAAAATATTTAGAGATATGATTTACTCAAGAAAATTTTATATTATTTAAGAGACTTGCCAGAAGGTTTTTCAACCAAAAATCGTTATGACTGATAACGGCAGCGCAGAAAGGAATGTCTTACGAATAATACTTCCAAACAGCAGATTACTTCTTTGCATATTTCATGTAAATCAAGCTCTTGACATCGGTTATAGCAAAGTGAACATGACTTATTAACTTTTTGAACGCCACGCCAAAAACTCACTACCGTGTCCTGTACGCCTAAGCGAAAAGTAAATAAAAATACCTACGAAAAAAACAGTGCTGCCAAGAGTTGATATATCGATAACACAAAATATCTGGTTTTTGTTGGTTTTTTATACAATAAATGACTCTTTATAATCGGGTATGTTTTATTTAATCTTGTGCTGTCTTCCACTCTTTTTTATATGTACTTTGTACATAAATAAAAAACAAACAATAACAATAAAATAGTAGTAAACCACAACACTACTCTCCATCGTGATGACGTCACTGTCACGACTGGACGACAACGGCGTAGCTGACCTTTCTTTTTGAAACTTTCTTAGAGATGTATCCGTGTCGCACGTTGTGTATCGATTTCAAAATCGATCTAACCAAAATATACAGACATCGATTCAAAATATTTTATGGCGAGGCGTAGGCCAAGTGAATCACAGAAGAAAAGTCACGCTCTTATGACAATGGGGGTTTCATATGATGCTGATGTTGCTAAATGATTTTGAGATTGAGAAAGAAAATCGCACAACACAAAATGAAAAATTTCTCTTCATACCTTAAGTAAAAAAACACATTTATTATTTGTAATTTTATATTATTAAAATAAAAAGGTACATAATTATTCACTAATCAACAATTGTATATAGGTAATTATTCGCACTAGGAAAATCAGTCTTATAATATTAAAATCTTGGTCATGGAATAAAAAATCAGTAATTATTATAAAAATCAACAAATGGTACATAATTATCCACCAATCAACAATTGTATATAATTATTCGCACTAGAAAAATCAGTCTTATAATATTAAAATCTTGGTCTTACTGACTTATTACAGAAATCAACAAATGGTACATATTGAAATAATACTAGTTTTTACGGAATTTATCGCGTATATTTAACTTTTTAAATACCCGACGTTTCGAACGCTTTACAGCACTCATGGTCACGCGAAAAGGGCGGGACTGAGATGTTCAACGTCCAGATGTCATGGTTAACCGCGGTTACCATAGATTAAAATTTAACTTTTGTTCCGATCTATACAGTATGAATGTATGGTATCTTGAAGTCTTGCAGTTGTATGCTTGGGTTGGGATTTAATTTTATTTATTATAGGATCCCAAGCAGATGGTAGCGCCCAGCCATCTTCTCTATTGAAATTAGGATGTTTTTTGATTTCAATAGCCTCGCGAATCATCCTTGGAAGGAATCGGTATTCTTTAGGATTCATGTTGCACTGCACTAATTTTCCCGCTAATGGCTTATGACGTCATCAGCGTGTCGTCTATACTTGACCACGGCGCCCAGTGGACTGATTTTCGATGTCGCGCTAAAGATGCGCCAGAGTTGAGATATTAGATTTATTATGCGAAGATAATTTGAAATTTTTTTATTCATGTAGCTAATTATAGTTTTATATTTCTAACCTTTTGTTTTATTTAAATATCAATAATAATAGAAAAAAACACGTTTGAGCTTGATTTTGAATAGTTTTCAATAAATTTATGCCTAACGCATTACAACACTAGCGGTCAAACATAGACGACTTTGGCGTGCTGGACATAGTATTTGCTTAGATAAAAATCCATTTTTTTTAGTTCAATGTTTCTTAGTACTTGTGGCTCTAGGAGACTTGTTTTTTATACTCACATGTTGCTGGGTTATTCTTTTTTTGAGGGGTGTAGAATTAAAATACCTGTAATAATTTTCCAATGTCTATATTTCATATTTTTGTGGGCCGGGTTTTTTGTCTACTATAGACGTCGTTGGCGCTCAGGGCCCGCGGGTGCTGGTCACGTATAGACGACTTTGGCGCTCAAAAGGTTAAAGAAGTTCAGCAATCAGTTATGAAGAAATTTCGTACTGTAAATGTATGCCAATACAATGCAAGAAGCCGAAATTACAATGTCTGATTTGTCAAAAGACGAGAAAGTTAAGAAAAATGAAAAGCTTGAAACAAATTTCATTGTGGGGACGGCGTGATGAGTGGTGTTTTTCATATCACTTAGATATTCTAACTAAAGGGAATAACACAAACAATTAATGTGAATCCTCAATAACATCCCAAGCAGATGGTAGCACCCAGCCATCTTCTCTATTGAAATTAGGATGTTTTTGAATTTCAATAGCCTCGCGAATTATCCTCGGTAGGAAACGGTATTCTTTTGCAAGGATTTGTAGTCTATCATCTCATGGTGTGGACGATCCCGAACATGTTGACGTACTGCAGACTTCCCGAAGAGTCTATTCTTCACATCAGTTATATGTTCTTTCACGCGATCCACTAAAACCCGCGTAAAAAAAACATATCGCTGATACGAAGCACCAACTCTCCCGGAGTTCTGCACTATGTCAACACATCATGTCCAGTATCGGAAGGAGGTAAAATTTCGTTATAATATTTTACTACACAAAATAATCCTGAATTGAATCAATGATAATTCAAATATCGACAAATACTTGCTATAAAATACTCAACATTCAAGAATATTACAAAATTTTCAACCACCAAAAAATGTAAAATATAAATTTTCCCCTTGGTATTACTACTAAACTGACATGACATCGATACATAATTTCTATCAAGATGGTCCCATTAACTGAAGACCCTGAATGATTATTGCAATTTTAGTTTTTAATTGCATATTCAAAAAAGCGAACCTTACTAAACTTAAAATGTAAGGAGAATTATATTAATCATATATCATGCTTACTATATGCACTAATAAATAATATATGAGTTGTAGAATTTGCTAAAGTAAATAGCTTTTTTTATCATTATTTGAAATTTCATACCAGCTAAAATGAAAAAAAAACGATTTGAAGTCAGTCAGAAATGTAAACATGACGAAGGAAATAATTATAAACCCTGAAATGTTGATTTTATGTAACCTTTATTTAACAAATAAACACGTAAAGATCATATTGCATACTTTTTTAAGCAGACCATTTTATAAGCTCAATTCTCACAATTTTATTGTTCCTCGCAATAGGTCCTTTCTAATAATAAGAAAGATATTTATAATACATCTATCACAGAATCAGTATGTAATCTTGACAACCATAGAAGCTCCAAAAATCGCTCTGAGTTCATTATTCCACTTCCTCGTTCAAGAGTAGGTTTCGTGCCTGAAAAGATATAAATAAACTAATAAGAATGATATTCAGTTGGATTACGAGGGTGATCCAAAAGTAATGATAATCGGTTATTTTCAGTTCACACAAAAATCCAAAAAAATTTTTGCTAGCTTATGGACCCACTAAATAAGTATAAAATAAACCTATAAATAGACTATGATTCCTGGGGGGTACAAAAGTGAAAAGTGGAAAACAGGTGGCACGGGTCACCCGTCTTCCTTCTGGTGCAGGTGATTTCTGGGTATTTGACACCTGATCCTGTGTCTATGCTGTATTGCTGGAAGAGAGCCGATTACTAAGTATCACCACTGGCGTGACGAGGGCACAGCGCAGCATACGCCTGAGCCCCGATATTACCTTCTGCGAGCAGGTGATGTCGCAGGAGGGTGCGGAAAGTTAAACAAAAAAGAAAATAACGGCGGATAGCCCAATCCGCCGAAGAATCTGGCGCCAGAACACATATCAAGCCCTCTTCCATCCCACAATTGAGGCCTAGGTGGTAAATATTAATCATCGAAGAGATAACATCAAAATGGAGAAAAACGAAATAAGAGCTGTCATCAAGTACGTCTGTTTAAAAAAATGTCTAACAAAGACTTACACAGCGACTTAGTGGAAACATTGGCGGACGGACACCGCTCCTCCATATTCCACAGTTGCACGCTAGGCAAAATATCCACTGAAGATGAACATCGCGAAGGATCCATCCACATCCCTCACTGAAGATAACATGAAAAAAGCCGAAGATTTCGTATTGGCTGATCGTAGAGTGACCATCAGGCATATAGTTGAGGTTACAGGGATCTCATATGGCAGTGTTTAAAGAATCCGTGCGAACGAATTGCATGCAAAAAGGTTTATGCGCGTTGGATACCGAGAATGTTAACCAATGAAAAAAAGAGTCGAACTTTCGAGGTGAATCTCAAAAGGTTCCAAGCAGATCAGGAAAAATTTTTCACGTTTCATGACCATGGATGAGACCTGGATCCACCATTTTGATCCCGAAACCAAACAACAATCATTGGTTTGGAAACGAGCCTCCTTACTGACGCTGAAGAAATTCAGTGTAAAATTCGGCGGGAAAGGTTATGGCTTCTGCTTTTTGGGACGCTGAAGGAATATTTATGGTGGAATGAGAGTGTGGTGAAAAGGAAGCCAGTATATCGGGCTTTTAATGCGCAGGCCTAATAAGAAGATTGCGGGAGGCTATTAAGGAAAAAAGACGCAGCAAACTGCGAGCTGTAGTGCTACACTGTGGCTCACAAAGCCGTGGTTGCAAAGGCTGCCATTCAAGGAACGGAATTTGAACTGCTCGAACACCCGCGCTATTTGCGAAACCTAGCTTACAGTGACTTTCATCTATTTCTTCAGCTCAAGGAACACCTTCGAGGAGAGAAAGGACAATGGCGAAATAATATGTGATGGAATTACTAAGCGTCACCATTACAAATATCAATAAAATTTACTTTGTGTTATTTAATCAAGCTTATGGCCTATCGAAGTCTGGAAAAAAATCATCTTACCTAATTTAAAACTAAATTGACTAGTTGTTGTGGCAAATTGTTGATGGAATTATTAAGCGTCTACTTATGTCACCATTACAGATATTATCAATAAAATAATTTATTAGGTATGTATTATCTAAATCAAGCTTGACTAGTTGTTGTAGTTACGATACGTCAGTTAAAACAGGCAAAGTTCTTATACCATACAGCCGAGTCTGACGTGTATTTTATTCAGAAAACTTTTCTATATATCCTAATGCGTTCTTTAACGATTTTTTCTATGCTAGTAATTACCCTATATAAAAACATATATGAAAATTATATTGACTAGTTGTTGTTGTAACGATTTGCCAATTAAGGCGTTTTATCCATACGGCATCCATCCATTCGACATAGCCCAACGGATTAGTAAGCTGAAGTGGCAATGGGCCGGCCATATAGTTCGAAGAACCGATAATCGATGGGGAAGAAAGGTTCTCGAGTGGCAGCCTCGTACCGGTAGGCGTAGTGTAGGACGACCTCCCACTAGATGGAGTGACGACCTGGTAAGACATGCAGGAAGTCGATGGATGCAGGTGGCTCAGGACCGTGCTTTGTGGCATTACTTGGGGGAGGCCTATATTCAGCAGTGGACTTGTGAAGGGCTGTAATGATGATGATGATGATGATCCATACAGCCTAGTCTGATATGTATTTTGTTTAAACTGGAATATCTTTAATTCCTGACTTCCTGCAATAGTATAACCCAAGAAAAAAATGTTCAGCGTTTTAAACTGCATATTTTTACATATTTTGTATTCGTAGAAACAAGAAAAAAAGTCACACAAGTTTGGGAGTTCGCCATTGTCCTTGGTAGATGATATCGAAGTGATGGACGCTGTTGAGACTTTTATGGAGGGTCAAGATAAAGATTTTTTTCTAATGGAATTCTGGGTTTAGAAAAAAGATGGAATAAATCACTTACCTCTATATATACAAGAACTAAATGTATTGATTACTTAGGGAGATTATGTAAAAATATAAATTATTTTTTAACTATAATCACAGTGTTTAATATTCATTATCATTACTTTTGGATCACCCTCGTACAACGGATCTTCGCAAATTTTTATCGACTCAACGGCAACGTTAGTAACGTATGCCAAGAGGACCATCAAAAACAAATGTGGTCCAAAGTGTGACAAAGGACAAAGCGCGGACAAATAAAAGTACACTACTTTTCTTTGATAATAATCTAATCATGGTAATGTGAAGATAAATGATCACATTACCATGCATTTTGTGCCGAGCTGTTAAGCGTTACACTGCAACAATCATCATCAGTCATCGAGTTTATGTAGACTTTTTAAAATTAAATAATACATTAGAACATACAGGAGAAGTAAGCTGGTGAAACATTCAAGTTCGAGAAATATCTATTATATACTATTTCGACAAAACGCACAACGTTAATGTTCTCAAACGAACTTTGACCTGAGCAGTGATTGGCTCTTCGCGCAATAATTATCTTAACGGTTGACAACATTTGATAAAACATGGGGGTTGTATAGAGACCCCAAATCCAAAAAGAGGCCTTTACATCATTCTCGTGTCCAGCAGGTGACTCAAAAATGTTGGTGATGTGATGTGACTTTGTTATGTCTATGATGTGATTAAGTTGTACATAAAATGCTAAACAACAGTGTAATATTACATTTCCCGATACGATACAAACTTACTTTATGCTTAACATAATAAACTTAAATGCTAAACATATTACCTCTTCTGTGTCACGTTCCATATACTGCTTTACGCGTCTCTTATTAATCAGCGGATCTAAGCACATCAGGAACAGTAGATACACGGTTAACAGCATTAAGACCCATAAGACCATTATCACAACCACCTGAAATAAACATGAAAAAGTTAGAGCCGGTAGCTTACGACAATCCAACCTAAGGTACTCAGACTCCGTTTTACGTGGTAGAGCCATGCTGCAGTTATATTAGTAGTATAGTTGTAGCACGAATGGGTCGGCTCAACCAGGGAAGGACCACGCTCTCACAGAATGCCGGCATGAAATAGTGGCTTGGTGCTGCTGTGTTTCGTATGGTGAGTGTAGAGAATCGGAGACCCTTTTTACTGGAAACGAGGCATCCCATCTTAGTCCTCACGAGTGACAAAGCATTTGCATTTTGATTTGTAATCGAGGATAGATGTAGATGTCTATGGGCCACAGCAACCACTTACTATCAGGTGGACCATGTGCTCGTTTGTCACCCTGTCCTATAAAAAAAAGGTTGTTGGATCCACGCAGTCAGTTAAGAAATGTTACACAGAACGTTGTTTCAAATGGAATTTCGAAATTAGTAAAGTTTAATCTATAACGCTGCGTAATACAGGTATCATTCAAAACCGGCACTGCATGCCCCGCTTTTGCCTTACATTTGATCGTCACTCCATTCAGTGAGCGGTATCCTGCGCCTGCCAATACAAGCTTACAACTAGAAATCCTCCGAAATACAGTAGTACTGTAACCACACATTATACCAAAACATTTATTAAGTTTATAGTGAAAAAGTAATCTTTGGCTTAAGTTTTCCTTGGCCACGTATGTAACGCCTTTTTCGGACAGGTGATAGTCCTCAAACGTTCTTTATTACTAAAAGATGGGCGATTTTGATTTGGAGCAGGTAAAATAAGGTCGTGTTTGATGTTTAATTATCACCTTGTTCAGTAGAGGTGGTAGTTTGAACTGTATCGTTTTTGTAAGGTTTTATCTCTAAAGAAATTAACAGCTAGCAAATAGCAGAATAAAGGTAAATAGTTAGTGCACAATTAGCTCATTGAGTTCTTATGGATAAAACGACATACCTATGTAATTTTGTCCGTTACGTCCATTGCAACAATAAATTCAAAATGAATATTATTTACGGAAAAAGTTATTCAAATGCAACAATAAGTACCTAAGGGGTGCAATAAATGTACAAGCGAGGTAAAACTATGAAAAATATAATTTTAGTACAAAAAAACTCCCTGCAAAAAAACTTAACTTACCAATTTTTGTCGTCGGCCATAATACCCGAACGAAATACAGGAGCTAGTTCCCGTTCTGACAGATTACAGTTCTGACAGAGCCGAGGCATGACGGGCTAAAATCGACAGAATTCGAAATATGATGCCTGTGTCAATTGTATATGTGTCTTTTGAAGTATTTCCCTTACTACTTCAACGAAGTATCAATACAAGGACAGGTTTCGGTGAGTGATACAGAAAAAGAACCTTCTGATTCTACAGATCGAACAAAACGAACGAACGAGAAAACAGGACTTAAAGAAAATGCAGTGAATTACCCTGAGGTTCAAGGAACTTCCCAAGATGAGCGCCCAATTTAGAGGTTTGAAAACTTCATAAATGAAGATATTATTCCTTGTTGATATCAGAGAGTAACAAATTTGGTATCAAAAAGAATTTACTTGAAAACATAACCGCCGAGGATATAAAGTAATTCATTGGCATATTGATGGTTAGTGGTTATTCATGACTCCCGTGAAGAGAAATATACTGGTAAGTCTCCTGGTACAAAGAATGAGTAGTTCAGCTCTGCTATGACTATGAATAGATTTTACTTTATTTTTCGACACTTTCATGTCAATGCCAATATGGATCTGCAAGACAAATATACAAAAGTACACCCACTCATATCACTTCTAAAAAATGGTTTTGGGCTTTTGTCCTCTTGAAGAGAATTACTTAATAATATTTTGTAGATGAGACCATGATCCCTTATTATGGGAGGCATGACTGCAAATAGCACATAAAAGGTAAACCAACATTAGTTATTCCTCAATCCAAGCAAATACGCATGTTTGACACACAGCAAAAAATGTAATGTCTGAGTGTGTGTTTTGAAACATGTCATTCTTTTTATATTAGATAAGGTGTATTAAAATTCAAATAATATTAATTTTATCAAAATTTTTATAAAATAAAATTTTCAGGCTTACCTAGGTTAAATGGTAAATTATAATGTCATATATGTCGAGTTCCCTTACTCTAGTTAATGAGGGAACATCTTCATCAAAATTGAATCACATTTATTGTATAAACTGCACAAGCAAATAGTAAAACGTATATACATAAGTACGTAACTGTGCGTATATATATATATAAGACTGTGTAAACGAAGGATGCGCAGTGACGCGTCGCAAAAGACCTAACTCACTATCACAAGCATCCACTCAGATACGTATTACCTTGCGCTCGCACCTACAGCTACTCTACAATATGTTTATCTGGTCAGGTGTTAGAACTGTCGAAACTGTCTGGCTACTGAAAAAACATCTTCTAAAAGTTACTCAAGTAACATTATATAAAATTCAGTTTTTATACTATAAGACTATAAGGTTACAGTTAAGTTACATATACAGTTAAGTTACACCCTTCGTACGTCCCACAGCTGGTCACAGGCCTCCTCTCATTTCTGAGAAAAGGAAGGACAATGCGTGTTGGCGAACTTCACATGACTTCGAAATATTTTTTCTTATTTCTCAGACATGCTTCAAATTGCAATTAACAATTTCATTGGTACCGGCGGGGATCCAACCAGGGTTGCTCGCGTACAGTGAAATTTACAGCCAGCGCTAACCCTCTGTGCTACCATGGCTCTTTAAGTATTATGTACAGTTACAATTTAGTAAATTTTAAGGTTGTCTGGCAAAGAGTTTCCACAATACTAAGTGCAGCACGATAAGTGCGGCACAATAGTAAGGATGTGACCTCTAGTAGCCCACCATTTCTACCGATGTTGGGAGCATGCACTGAAAAATTTTCAGTCACGCGAGTCCCAGTCGTATCAGATGACCCGAGACACTGACCGGGATTGGCCTTGCAGAAGCAACTACTGGCATAATTTCAGTCAACGGACCACCCCACATATCGGTCATCTTGTGTGCCAGGTCCAGATATTTTGCCAGCTTATCAATTTCTGCTTTAACGAGGTTCTCGTAATACGAATGGTAATATCGACAAAAATTATCCTTGACTATACCCGGTCCATCAACACAATATCAGGCTTATTCGCAAGAATTGTTTGTCTGTGATGATGACCTGGTCCAAATAGAGCCGAGTAGAACCTTGACTTAGTATATGTGTAGAATATTTCTTTACCATTATTATAGTAGTATTCCTGGTCTCATACTTGCATTCACATCGAGGACAAAACTCTTGGGCTCGTGCAATTATCTCTTCGCCCATTCGAGGTAATATAACGCCATAGCAGTTACTGAAAAAATAAATATTTTTTTAATCACTTAATTAATCATACTGGAATATTTAAAATCATTTGGTAATTTCATAAATGTACAACAATCAATTGAGTTGTTTTATAATTATAAGTTTTTAAAGGAGTTAAAAAACTATTAGTTAATAAAGGATATACATACACACTCATTTGCAAAAAGAAAGGAGTGGTTTTAAACATTTTCCTGTCTGAAAAAAATATAATACGAAAAAGGTTTTAATCATTACATGTTATTGGCCGGTTATAAAAGTGCCATGGTGTTTAAAAAAGTATGTTCTAAATAAAGTTCTAAAAAAACAAAACAACTTTCCACATTTTGTGACCTGAACTCCCAAAAATTCATATCGACGCAGTCAATCGAATCATCGCCCAGCTCGTGGCCCTAAATTGTTTAACGATTTTTTAGGCTTAGCTCCGATAAATTGTATCTTATAGACTAGAGAAGACTGAGATAGGGCATTGTTCTTCGATGAAGCCAAAATATCTCTATACAGTGAAGACCGAATAAAAAGTTCAAAATTTCTCCGTTTGTATGCCTGTTGAGCAGCGCGAGTCACGTCTTAACGCGTATTTCGTGCTGGCGATCGATTGCGATCGTGAGGCACCCATTTGTCAAACACTTTTACCTTGTTAGATTGATGCAAATGGACCAATATTGTTTTGATGCTAATGTCGAAAGCTGCTGCTAATTCTATACATAGTTTATTAAATAAAATTAATCTGGAATTAGAATTCTTAGCCAAACAAAAATTATATTGATTTGAAATGGCCAATACTGCAGTACTGCAATTTCTTAGGTAAAGTCCTATTACATAAAACTAGTGACCCACTCCGGCTTCACCTAGATGGGATTTATTAATGAGTGGATGGGAGTCATTTAGATATATGATAATCAAAGATCATTTTATCAATGTTTATTTTCTTTTTCAAAAAATTCTTCAAGGCTCAACAAATAGGCTATCTATTTGTTTGTAAATTTTCATCACAATCCGGTCAGCCATTCCGAAAACAGCCTAGATAGACACACAGACAGATCATTTTTAAATGGTTATTTATGTCTTTATAGCACGCAAATCACCCACTCAGCTTCATAAAAGAGTTATTTCAAAACGGATGGGAAGAAAGTGAATTAATACAGCTTTGATTTAAGTACCCATCAGAAACAGAAACAAATTTTTTATTCAATATATATTATAAATAATACTAAATGAAAGTCACGCTTTTGTTTAATTTAGCTCTGGTATGGCAAAAACCTCTGTCCTGGGAATAACCCTCAAGAAAGCGGGACTTATTGAAAAAATAAACTAGTATTTTATATAATTTAGAACGCAAAACAAATTAGAAATAGCTTGATAGTGATCATTTCATGCTCAGGAGTTATTATCATCCATAAATTCAATAATATTATAATAACCCTTTTTATACAATTTTAGATTAACAAAGTTTTTGACTTTTCACAGGTCAAATTTTGTATATTCATCATCATTGCCAGCATCAGTATACATTTAAGTTAATTTATTCAATAAAAAAAAACTTAAAATACCATTTGTTGGGTGGTACATAGTCAGTAAACAGTTTTCGATCCTTGCTCAAAGAACTGTTGAGTACCTCTGCTGGACTTGGACACACACAACGACATCGCTTATCTTCATAAGCTTGACCCTGGAAAGTAAAATATTTATGGGAATTACATAGCACAATTTCTTCAATTTAGAAAATATTTAAATAAATATATCAGTTGATGCCTATGTAAATTGAAGTATGTACTTCTTATGAGATGTGAAAACAAAACTATTATATAAAACATCAACAAAACTTTTAATAATTGTTTAAAATACCAATTAACATATAATGAACCACTATTACATTACCCAGACATTTCGCCAGCTAGACAAACAAAAATTAAAAGGGTTATTTATATCTTAAGTTCAAATAAGTCCAAAATAAGCTTTTTGAAAAATTGGTATTTTAAGCCAATTAACAATTATCAGTAATAAACCATGGTTTCTTGTTATGTACTAATATGTTTAAGTATATCAAATAAACATTTAAAAATAAAAAACTTTTACCTAATTTAAAAGGAAAACCGACAAAGTGTTACAACACAATGAAAAGTAGAAATATAAATTAATAATACATTGATATTTATATCAACTTCCCAATACAACATAAATTTGTTTGATATGATATTGAATATGTAACCTTTTAAAACTCATCGCCATCATTACCGCCCGCCCTTTATTTTACTTATGGGTATGTATGTAGGTAGGGTATGGGGCAGACTCATTACATACATACTCATGAACCTTTCTTTTCCATCAGTTGTGGAATATAAATTAACTTTTTACATTAATTGATGTTTTGATATATTTCTAGTGTCAACAAAATTTGTTCATTTTTATACATGTTGGCTAAGATCTATCAATGTGGTGTTATTAAGGGGATAGAGTAAGTCAGCTCAAATTCTAATTTCGTCCCCACTTGCCCGCGCGTCGTATGCTATGTACCGACATGTTTGTAATCAGTAATACTGTAAGTAGAAAGGTCGTTAGACACTTATTTCATTAGGTTTATCATATTTATGCCTGTTTCTTAATGCCAAGCCAGTTGCTTCTTACTTTTATTACGGTTATTTCCCATTCTAATTTTACGTCGTCCTGTTGCGTAATGTATATTCTGATCGTAAGTGACACAACCTCCCCGTTCAAAGGCCGAAGCGAAGTGACCGTGCGGCAGGAATCACACTTCAAAAGGCCGATAGTTTAGGTAATTTCTTTTTACAGTGAAAATAATGGTATTTTAAAAAAAGTAAATAGCATAAGCACTGCTTTATAGTTAGTTTAGTTAGTATGCAAAGTTTCATGATCTTATTTAAAGTATTTTATGAATAACAGCGGTTTATTGTTTATTTTGGAGGTAACTTTGGATTTTTTTTTCTATGGAAGAAAATTTTACGAAATCGTGTTTTCGTCTAACATAATCCTTAACATTAATCCTCAAATTTACCATATATTTATTTCAAAATTAATGCTGCAATATTTTCGGTATAACGAAGGATCTTGCTAAGCCATTTGAGATTATGTTTCCCCTTAAGATTAAAATGGAATCTAAGACCATCTGTTTTATCAATTTCATGTATATTATAATTTTTATAAAATTTTTATAATATTTAAATTATAATATTTTTGATATAGTAAAATATAGCCTAGATCACTCCGGGTATTGCTCTCTATCAGTTTATAAATTTTGGAAGAGTAGAACCAAGGCACCTAACTCTGCCAGAGATCTGTATGAAGAGAGGAGCCAACTGTCTAAATTGAAAACCAACTGTGGCGATGAGATGTTGAGTGAGATTGATATTGATATTACTAAAGCAAAATCCAGGTGAACAAAGCTTAAAGCAAAAGCTTTGTTAGTTATCTTATGAAACTTAATAAATGGATGATAATAATGTTATGGCATTTTCAATATTTTTTATAAACAAACTGCACATTATCATATTAGTTTTAAATAACGAAAAATACATCCAAAAATATTTAAACCAAATTTCCAAATGTTAGTTACACATCATGCGGGTCGGCTTTAGTAATCTGCTGCACGATTTAAGTGATCATTTTAGCTTTAGTTGATAGGTAATGATGCTATTGATTACCATCTAGCTGCTTTTTATGCCGGAAATCCTTAGTTTTCGAGATATCGATAATTTTAGTTTTGAGGTTATGTCCATTTAAAAATGATACGAAACGAAATAACAACATAATTATTTGATCATTTTAGCTTTAGTTGACAGGCAATGACACTATTAATTATCATCTAGCTGTTTTTTTATGCCGGAAATCTTTAGTTTTCGAGATATCGACAATTATAGTTTTGAGGTTATATCCATTTAAAAATGATACAAATACGAAATAAGAATATATTTATTACAAAGAGATAGCAATAGAGCATGGTCTGTACTCTGTTTTAAAAAAAATAAGCAACAAGGATATAATTATTAGAAAGAGATAACAATAGTATAGTTTGTATGATCTATTAATCTATTTATAGTGCTATCCTACTCTAACATACGATGTTAAACCACGTATTGTTTTTTAGTCACCATCCATTCCACTTTCGCCTTCGGACTTTGAATGTTTTGCGCTCATTTTTTGCTCCTAATTCTTGACCCTTGCTCGATTATCGGACCTCCGTTTACCGCCTGCTCTATTTTCGACCTCTGCTTGTTTCTTGGACCTGTGATTTGCCTTGACGAAGACCCGTGCTCGAATACCGGACCACCGATTTGCCCTACGAAGACCCCTGCACGTTTTCTTGGACTTTGCCTACCTGTCTGTCTACCTGAGAGACCCATGATGGCCGACGACTCTACGCCGTCAATTAGTTCGGCCGGTCCGTCGAACGCAAGCGACGCCGCCGCAACGGATGTAGTACCCTTCGCGGAGCTTTATGGTGATTTTGTGCGCAGGCGTTTATATGTGGAAGAAGGAGCTAAATTTTTTAATTTACCCCGAATCGTGCGAGAACTCGGTACCACAGTGTGTGGAGTTTGCCATTGAAAATGGCTTAATCCCTGCCACTAAGGAGTGCCGCACCCATAGAGTGCCAATGAAAGTGGTATATGGGCAAAATAAAAATGTGGGCTCCTTTGTTTGCAATAAAGGAAATTGCAGAGCCCGATCCAGGGTAGCTCGTGGCAAGGGCACCTGGTTTGAAAATATTAAAATGTCATTGCCACGGGTATTCTATCTGATGTATTGTTATGCGCATCGCTGGAGCTATGAAGATGCAATCCACGAAGACCCAGAAAAAGATATAGAGGGAGGCTGCTTATCTATGGCGACTGTCTGCGATTGGTACAATTACTGCCGGGAGACAGTCGTCATTTACCAAATAGAGCAACAAGAGGCCATCGGCAAGATTGGTGACCCAGGAAAAGTAGTCCAAATAGACGAGTCAAAATTTGGAAAACGGAAATATAATAAAGGTAATTTGATTTTCTTATATTACAGACTGAAACAATATATTTATAATAATAATATAATGATAATTAAATTTATTTCAGACCTACATATAGTCCATAATATGTTAGTAAATTAGCTTAACCTATGTTAGTCTTAAATTATTACACATTATTTATTTTAAAGTTTACTTTTGAACCCAAATTATCTTTTAATACCTTTTATTAAATATATTTGAATACCTTTTAAAGCCAAAATATCTGGAAGAAATCAGTTTCAGAGTGATAAGACAGCCTGTTGTACATATTCTGCTATAAAATTTTTTACTTTTGTATTTGTTTTTTTTTTTTGTAATTTTGTACTATTGGGTTTTGGTGTACACTGTACAATATAGAGTAAATAATTAATAAATATCTTGAATATTTACTAACTCTAAATTGTTTATTGTTGATTTTAGGAAGGCAGATTGAGGGCCACTGGATCCTCGGCCTCATTGAGGATGGAAGTGAGGATTTACGACTAGAGGTGTGCCCTGAAAACATCAAGTCAGCGGACATACTAGTGCCCCTAATTAAAAAATATGTGGTTGAGGGCACCACAATCCATACAGACTTCTGGAAGGCTTATGATTGTTTGGGGCAACATGGGTACATTCACAAGAAGGTGAACCATTCAGATCCTGAGAACCCATTTGTTGCCCCTGATGGCACTCATACTCAAAGAATCGAATCGCAATGGCGGGTGGTTAAAAGATTTTTCAGTAAATACAATTATAACCACCCGGAAAACTTTTCAGACATTATTATAGAATATTTGTGGAGAAGGTCAGTGCAAAGAAAAAAAAGGATCCTTTTATGGAACTAATTAAAGTAATTAACCATGTATATAAATAAATGTTTTTATAATATTATATTTGCTCATTTCTTTTGATCAAACCCTAGTACCAGAAGGTATAAATCACAAAACCGAATCTGTCAACCCCAACTTCCACGTGGTCTTTCCGCTCTTACCCCTAGAGTGTATATGAAAATCCGGAAGCGCGGAGGGAATGCAGCCCTCGCCCGCTGTAACTAAGCGCAGGCATCGTACGAGCCGTAGCGGCTGAGGCTGGTCGCCGAAGGCGACCAAACAGCCGAAGCTGCGCAGGTGAGCTAGGTGCCTGTGCTTAGTTACGCAAGGGCGGAAAGGGCTGCACTTCCCGCAGCGCTGGAGCAGAAGCAGAGTCAAAATAGTGTTAATTCCCACCGTTTTTCCCACCCTAAATACTGCCACATTCCCACCGGGACCCGAATGTGAGTTTTTCGTCGCCGGACGCCCTTTTTTTATTAAACGAAAGCGAATTTTCCTTAAATGTAACAAAACTTTAAAAATTCATAAAAAAAAAAGGGGGGGGTTTCCGGCACTTTTTCCTTTCAGGGGGAGGTTCCTCCCCCTCCCCCCCCCTCCCCCCACCAACTCGGCGACCATATATTCATGCAGCAGATTACTAAAGAAAACCCCATCATGCTCATGTGTACAGATATCTAGCTATATATTAGCTTTCTACATATTTATTTATCTATGCTATATATACACTTTTTGGATCAATAAAATCGAAGGAAAAAGAATTATCTCTCATATTAATAAGTTTCATGGAATAAATCGTAAAATAATAATTAAAATTAGTGAATGAAATAAATTTTTACTATTTAATTTTACTTACCTCAACACAAACCAAACTAGAAAACATAATCAGTACTACAAGTGTCATTATTTACTAACTATACTAAACTATACACTGAAGACCTCGAACAGTATGAACTGGTTTAAACATACAGTAATCTGAGTATAAATGTATTTGCTAAAAACAAATTAATCCAAATACATTTTTTATTGTTTTAAACAGGCTGGTGCAACTTCCTTAAAAAATATGCCATCTTGTTATATTTTATTTAAAGATATAATTTTATAATTATATATACATAATACTGTTTGTTTATTATTATCACACACCAGAGACAGAGATCACTACCTCCGAAAGGAGTAATAGTGTTCTGTGTAGGCATGTCGATCTAAAATCGATTAATCGAAAAATCGATTCTTTGAAGCAAAACAATCGATTTTTTAGATCGATTCGGTGCACCGCATCGATTCACTGAATCGATCCAAAAACCTCTCGAATCGGACCGATTCATCTGATTCTAGAACCAGCGATAAAATTCCCAAACTGGCTGGGTTAAGATACCGCAGTTTTTTAATTTTTTGCTGTTGGGGAACGCAAAAACAACCGATCATACTTGGTTGATAATTTGAACGCAATATACAACACGTAACATAATTAACGCACTTTGAGAAAGTAGTTTGTTCAGAATTGTTTACTGAATCGATTCCTATCATTTTTAATATAGGTAATTTTTTATCCCAAAAATAATTAAAACTACGTAAATTACAGTCACACTAAATCTGTACAGTCAAAACAAACTGAAATGGACCGTAATTTAATGCAATAAGACTTATAAGAGTGTAGTTTTATTTGTATTATTACTAATTCTGTCATTCAATAAAAATAAAGAAAAATGAACTTGATTTCAAGCACGTTAAATTCTTTGCGTTCGTGGATTTGTACTGTGACCACAACATTCTTCCGGAATTAGTATAACTAATTTGATAAATAATCAGTGCATAAAAATGTTTAACTAAAAATTCAGTGTATGTATTATGTTTATAACATAATATACTAATTCGAGTGTCTGAGGGTGTGCGTTAATTACGTTACATATTGTATATTTGAATAAAATAAATATTTATGAACGCATCAAACAATATCGAAAAGTTGTCATTTCATTTTCATTTCTAAATTTCTAATTCTATTCTTACCTGTGGAATGTTGGTCTAACTTAATCTGTGCTTTGAACAAAACTACATATACATACTACAATTTAATATTACCTATAGCTGTGAACCTGTTTGAACTGTGAACTTTCGAATTTACTTTATTATCAAAAACATACATACTGTGAGCTGTAAGTACAGACGGAGTACTTTCTATATATCTAGACGCTGTAAATAAATATTATATGTTGAAGTTTATAGAGGTTTATAGTAAGGAAATAACCAGTATTGTGTTCGTGTAGCATTCATTTAAATTTGATAAATAGTGAGTTAATAGATTGAAACAGATTGATCGAGAAATGTACGTTGCAGTTTGCCCTTTTGTTAAAAGTATTGTTGTTGTTTTTAGCCTAAAATGTCAAATAAAAGTGATACATGGAATCAATTTGTAAAAAAAGGGATCGAGTGGCGAACCACCCCTAAAACAAGCGTTTCAAGCTTACCAGGAGAGGTTAAAAGGAATATTAGTAATTTTAATTAATAAGATTACTAATATTTTAATTTCAAAAAAATATTCAAAATTCAAAATTCTTTATTCAGTATCTTAAATTTATATATAAAAATATTGAAGTTCAATTAAAGAAAAAATCGCAAATTCTTGAAATTTCATGTTTGAAAGTGTCGCGATTAATCGAAAATCGATCTTTTAATCCTCGATTTAATCGATAATCGATTCTAGTATATTCGAATCGATTCAGAGATCGATTTTCTTAAGAATGAATCGACATGCCTAGTTCTGTGATCACTACACTATAAACCATAGATAAATAAATATGTAGCAAGCTACTATAAACTAGGTTATAGACTCATAGACATGTGTCAATCATGCATGATTCGTTCGTTTGAGCTGGTACACTTAAAAGTATTGATGGTTCATTAATTTGTTTTTGAATCTACCAGTACAACCAATCACAAACAATAGACGGTACCTTTTTAACCCGCGATTTGTTTGAATTGTGAATGAGCCGCAAACCGACCGAATCCCGAATGATCTGAATAAACAGGTGAATCGAATTAACAATGCAGACTGCAGAGTATCAGGAGATTTATTACTTAATGGTTTATTATAATATTGTTACCCATATTAAAAATTATTTTACATGTTAGTATATTTATTTGTTACATGCATGAGTTAAAAATATAATTTCGTAGAGTTTACTAAAAATAACACTTAAAAAATTTCATGATAAATGATTAATTTAATATGATAATTTTCAACCACCTTATATAAGTATAGGATAGGTAAAAGTTTAATTTTGTAACAAATAAATGTTACAATCCCTACTTTTAGACATGTAAAGTAGGATGAAATTTTGTATTGTTAGGAATGAAATTTAAGAATAAACGAATTTATTAAGTATGTGATAACTTGAAGTTTTTGTATTTATGCCATCTAGCGTCGATTGTACTTACCACATTGAAAGTCAATAAGTTTTAGTTCGATAAAATGACTTTATTACCTATAGCATGTAATAGATGGCGCTATTACAAATCTCAAATAGAAAATTTTCAGTTCCTAATAGATCTTACAGACTCACAGAGTACTGGAGCCTGAAATGAACCATTTTAACGATCGGTCGCTAGAAATGAATGATTGACATATGTCTACTAGGTCATTTCACAAATTATAAAGTTGTAGGTCATATCATATTAATGTTGCCACATTGAATTAGTTTAGGCGTAGACAGAGAATGATAGTGAACTTAAAACAGTTTTAGTAACAAAAAAGTCTCCAAATGTCGAATGTTGTCGAAATGTCTAAATATAATCTTATTAATCTATATATATTGAACATAATGTATGTATGTATATATGTAATGTACATAATGAACAAAGTGATTTTGTATCGTCGGTCATCATCGGTTTTAACCATTTAAATACTTACGTAAGTATTGCGCGCAACAAGACTAAGGTGACAAGAATGAATATTATGAATATAATTATCGAGGAAGTCCTTTAGGAAGTAATTAAGGAGAAGCAAATAAAACAGATAAAATGTTAAAATGTAAACATATAAAAAGTGAAAGCAACATAGCAGGTGTAATCCGACCAAATTAGGAAATAGCTCATTCTCATTTAAATTATAATTTTTGGGAATAATGCTCTATTGTATTAAAATAATGTAATAATATAATACTTTAAATAATACTATTTAAAATAAGCACTCTATAAAATGATTAGGTATAGCTACTTTTTAATATTTTATTTTTTTATTTGCTTTAGGATGTAAATTATTAGGCGTTTCATTTTTATTTTATAATTATTATTTCCTACGTATGTTACGTTTTCATTAATTTTAATTTTGAAAATAAGAGATTTTGTGGAGTACATTTTATGTGATTCATTTATAATAGGATTACCTATTACAAATAAATCACATAATATTTTTCCATTAGGAATATCGTTGTGATGTTTTTATGTGTTTGTAAAAGCGACATCCAAAGAACTTTAGTTTCGGTTCCTTTACATTTTATAATTTCGTTAATGGATAGAGTATATTCTTTATGCCTGAAGTTGTCAGATGGTAACAAAAATTGAAGTAAGTAGGCACAGATTGTACGAATGTCGCTAAATCACCAGAATATTTTTTGCCGCTAAACATTGAATTAAACTCCCAAAATTAACAAGAAAAGTCGTTAGATTTAGCGACAAAGTCGCTAAAGTGGCACACTGGGTCGTATATATATAGACGTATAGGTAGACAGAGAAACCTATAGACCAATGATTAGCGTGGCCTTGAGTGAGAAAGGACGATAATGTAGTTTTAGGTTATACAATAATCTTTATGACTTTTAAACATATTTAGATAAAAATTTTAATTGTTCTAAGAAATGAACTGAACAAGATTCACCAATCTTGAGCTCACAAAACACTTTTTTCTCACTTAAACCAACTTGTAAACTCCTTAGATCGCTACGAACTGTCAAAGTTGTTTAGCAAAGTGTAGTTTGCTAAACAAAAAGAACCGGCACGGAGAAAGGGACAAACAATCATACTGCTCTATCCCATTTCTATGCAAGACGTATGCATAAATCTATCTTTTTCGTGTGCGAATGCGAAAGAAGGCATCAATTTGTCTATAGATTTCTCTCTCTACGGACGTATATAATATGTTTTATATACTATGCATGGAGTATATAAGTAAGGAGGATAATCTCCTATAGGGGAATAGTTGAAAATGTGTCAATCCGTAAGTAGTAAATAACAGTTCAAAAACTCTCCACAGCAGCGCTCTTGACCGGCAGTGGAATTTTATATTCACATTTTCAGGAAGTAATGTTAAGAGAGAATAAAACTCTTTAAAAAAACGTACGATTGTAATAGGTTATTATTTAAATAGAATTTTATTTTACTATTTATATACAACAGCTTCCTTTATTTTCATTAAATACTAGTGATCTGGTTTCGCACATTTGATATTTTGATTCTACAACAGTGCCATCTACCGGGTCTAACTATGCCTATAACCCTTGCGGAAATGCAAGCAATATATAGACAAAGTTTTACCACATTCTGATGAACGGTATGACAGCGCATAAAATACGAACAAAAAAATATTTATTTTTATGTACTTATGTATTAGACCTGTATGTATAATATATATTTTTTATAAAAGAGGGGGCAAACGAGCATACGGCTACAGCCGCCCATGATCCGCAATACCAGGGGAATTGCAGGTGCGTTGCCGGCCTTTTAAAAGAAGTAAGCTCTTTTCTTGAAGGTCCCCAGGTCGTTACGGTCTGGAAAAATCGCCGGTGGTAAACTATTCCACAGAGAGGTTGTACGCGGAAGAAAACTCCTTTTGAAACGTACTGTGGTGGACCGCCAAGCATCCAGATGGTGTGGATAGTATCGGGA